TAATGCTTTTTATACTCTTTCATACTTTGGTTAAAAATATTAGCACCATCAAATTTCTAGGTGGAGGGCAGTAGAGGTGATAAATGCAAGGTGATCAAAACACAGTAAGAGGCACATTTTCCTTTTTTATGTGGAGGCCTCTTTCAAACCTGTCATCTGATGAATGTCAAATTAAAATTTAATGGACTTGTTGGTTTCCAGACAGCCATCTTTCTACAGCTTTATTATTAACAATAATTTAATCTTTGCCAGCGCTTTTTTCATTTCCGAGCTCTTGATGTGCGGATTATTTTTTTAAAAGTAACTGTACAAGAAAAATATTCAGATCATAAAGTTAAACCTTTATTAGAAGTGTTCCATATTAAAAATGATGCAACCCCAGGATCAATATAGTTTGCAAAGCAGCCCTGTATTTCAGGTGTTTGAATTAAAGTTTAACAGTTGTAAATAGCATGTTGCTTATAGTCATATCTTTCTGTCGGTATTTTATAATAATCTGTATTTAATAGTATGTGAACCTGAACTTTGCCTCCCAGAAATATGTGAGGAAAGAGAATATACTTGTATGGCTAAGCTAAAAAAAAAAGTTATGTGAAATATATTATTTGTGTCAGCCAACATCCATAGGTAGAGAAATTCTTTATTTAGTAACAGGTGTGTCAGAAAATAAGAGATCCAGGAAACAAATGGACTTAAAATACTTCTCAAGAGAAAATATGTAGCATACATTACAATAAAATGATAAAATTACAATAAAAATTAATATACTATTGTGGGGCCTGATGCTGCATCATCATAATCACTAGTTGGGCCAATTACCTCAATGTGAGTGGGATCTGGGCCATAAACAGTGAAGGATATTTTTTCTGGATACTAAGTGTTCTAAGTTCTTGCTTGTGCCCTTGAGCATAGTGCTGTGCTGGGAGTAGTAAAGAGCCACCCCACCCCAGGGGGAGAACCAGGAGGCAGAATGCTTCCAGGAGTGCTCAGATGCAAGGTGGGTGCATGCCTACTACCACATCCTTTTCTGGGGTGCAGCTTATTAGTCTTTGTAAACTTAATAAACTTCATTGGGTTCTGTGCATGAGAGTGGAGTACTTGCCAATCCCAGCCCCTTTTGGAGGATTAGTTGCCTAGAAGAATAGTAACAGAGCAGTCTTTATCTTCCCTTGAGAGCAGGGATTACAATGATGGTTGACCTCTACATGGCCTGCACAAAGTGGAGGTTTCTTTACGCCTTCTCTCGCGTGTAGGTATAATCTGG